CGTGGTTCCCCATGGAGATTCTGGCTACTTGCTAGTTCGCGCTAGGTGCGTTTCCGGTGTGTTCAAAGATCGTCGGGCTTCTCAGAATTCAGCAGAAGCCTGTTGGAGAAGGACTAGACTTATGTGTAAGGCATCTAAAATGCAAAAACATAGAGCATTAGAAAATATCTTGCGAGCAAATTGTGGGTGATTGAAAATTCCAGAAGAAAAGTTTTTCGATGGAAATGCCGGAATTCCTGTATTAATGCGTAGGCCACATAATTCAAAATACCTAAAATTGGCGCAGTCGATTTTGCATTTAGAGTGAGGTTTCGAGACGCTTTGCCATCGTTTCTCTTTTATTTAAAGCTTGATTCGACAATTTTTGAACATTACTCAACATTACTCGAATAACAGTTCGTTTCTCCGATTTTTTTTATGCAAGTCTCGACCAAAATTAAAAAAATTATTTCACCTTTTCAATGAACTTTTGATCCATTTCTCTATTTCTCGATGCTCCTTCTATCTCTGTCCATTTCTACCGATTCAACCAGAATCTGCGCCACGGTGCCACCGCCCTATAGAGCCTTCCCCAATAGTCATTGACACTGTCATCGAGTAGTTGTCGTCGAAAAAAAAAGAAGAAAGAAGGGGGATGGGCCCCTTCCGTTGTGTCCGGGCCCCTGGCTTGTCTGGGGTGGGCCCCTCCAGGCATCGATCCCAGCCTGGGCCCTCCGCTTCAGCCCGCTCCCTCCGGCATCCATCTCTTTTTCGAATAACGCCTTCTCGGCTCCCACCCCAGCAGAAGAGACGTCTTCCACCACACGTACTACCTCTTATTCTCCATTTCTCTCTACCGCCCCATCACCACACCCCGAGGGCTGGTGGCTTGGACATCCCCGCCAAGCCATTCCACACACCCCATTTTAATTTGTCTAGTTGCATCTGTGGGGGGCCCGTGTCTTCGATTCAACTGCCCTAACACCGATTTAATTCTCACACCCTGAAGGTCCCCAAAAAAACCCTGAAAACTCCTAGCATGAGAAGGAAAGTCCCGTCCGATACGCTCAGCGATAGAACATGCTTGGTATAGACCAAATTGCGAGGTTTGTTTCGTTACAGTTTTTTATTAAATTAAATAAACTAAAGATCTGAGTCTGTGCGTCTGTTGGGCTGTATTCGGCAGAACTGTATTTTGGAATCGAAATTTCAGGCTAGCGGCCGAAGAGGCCCGGCGGGAGCAGCGCGCAGATGGACCATTTGCCGCTCGGAAGGCTACCATCTCATCACAGCCGCCGCTTAAGGAAAAGGTTGGTATTTATGAACAGAAAAAAAGTTTGGGACATTCTTGGAACCCCTGTCGCTCCAGTTAATAGTCTTGTTCTCGCTATCTTCTGATTTCAACTGTAGGATTTGTATGATTGAATCTACTTTATCAAGACATTTACTATAGGTTTTTGCGAATTCTGTATAGATAACTGTTTATTTATATTTAGCTATTTTCTGTTAAACCTTACCGAAAAGGCTCAACGCCTGAAAAATCAAACGGCAAAAATTTCCCCGAAAAATTGCTGACATCTGACTATTTTTGTGCTTTTCTTTTGACATTATCCAAAAAAATCTTGACGCAGATATTTTTAAGACATTGCTATTCTATCATAAACAAGCTTCAATTACTTAATCGTCGGACTTCTTGCCTGAAACTCCCAATCTCGTACAACCCAATAAAAATAACCTAGTAACCCAACCACCTCGCCCGCCAGACTCACAATGACGTTACCCCGTCCCAAACCCACACTAGTTTCCAATTCCCGTGTTGCACATCCCTATATCGCTTCCCTCCGGCTTGCTCGTCAATATGCTTGCCGCAACTAGAGGGGTGTCCCGTTGCTCCTCAACCCTGAAGGCGCCGCCGCGTAGTATTGTTTCAACGCGAAAAACGGCCGTCCCGACCGGCATAGGCAACTAACTCAATTCGGTCGCCAATTTGCCTGCCTTCGCCCTTGCTCCCCCCTTTTCTACCGGTGCAAGGAAATGTCCCCGGAGACCCGTGGACTCGAGCTCCAAACGCCCTGCGTGCTCCCCCATCCCTAGGACCACCAAAAGCTTCTCCTCCTCCTCCGCACCACCCCCGGCGGCGCCGAAAACTTCTCCCCATCCACATAGCCCATTTCAAGGCCCAGGCCACTCTCGCATTTCGCCCCCAAACAATCAACTTGATGAAAGGCCGCCGAGGCTTTTTGGGCGGTGGGGGAGTTGGTCACAAACTTTGTGGTAGGGTGAGGGAGGGAGTAGGACCACAGGAAATCCGAGTAGTGGAGTATGGATGAGTGTGGTGGGGAAGGTCAAAATCGCGATTCAGAGAGCGAACTGAAGGTGGAAATGAGGGTTTTTTGGATCAAAATAGCTTCATGATATACAAAATCTCGCGCGATATTTGGATCTTTTAAGATTAAATCTCATCGCGCATAATTTAAATTGACTAAACCGCAGCTTCTGGAGATGCTGCGCATATATCAAATCCTTATCGATAAGCCAACTAGGATGTAAAGCGATAACCAAAAAAATTTATATCAAACAGAATCTGTTTTGCTTGAAGTTTGGAGTGCGCATCTTAATTAGCTTGTTACAATTATCGCAAGTTACGCATAATTTCTCTGGTAAATTCCAAAATTACCCCCACCTCCAAACCAAACTATCCCCTAGCTGATATCCCAGATTCACCGATGCAAGCTCTCCCACGCAACCCGTGCTTTACGCAGAAACCCTCTTTTCTTGCGCCGCGGGAGCTTGGATAGGGATCATTTCGGTCGTGCTGGATACGCAGCCCTCACATTTTAAATGAGGTAATCCAGTCATCTTTCACCCCCCGTCGAGCCTGACGACCTCTCCATGTAATTAAACCGGGGGAGCTGATGGCCGGCATATGGCAACAACAGCTCTATTTTTTGCCCGGGGTGATGATGGGGTGAGGAGGCGGGGTGGAGCTGGGGAGGTTCAGCTTAATGTCCAGTTTGTAGACATAGAAACGCTAAATCTATGCAACAATTCTTAGGCAAGCTCTAAATGTTAAAACAAGAGTGGGCTGGAGGTGATCAAGCTTGAGGGTTGGTATTTAAGGCGCATGTCGGAAAAATAGTCAAATTGAAGACGGAGAACGTAAGAACAAACTTTAAACATTTAGGTCTCAATATAGAAATCCAGCGTGATTTAGAAGCAAAATTTTCTGTCCAATTCTTAGTCAACTTACAGCCTATGCGTTTGGATGCTCAAGCTCAAAGACCTTCTCCTCCTCCTCCTCCTCCTTTTTCTCCTCCATATTCTACGGCCATCCAAAAAGGACCCGCGAAGGTTTTGGGCGCAAAAAAGGGAGCGAGCCCGGGGCTGAAGTGGTGCCCCCCACCCCGCTTTTGCCCTCTTGCTCGGCCCATGCTTCCGAATAGCGTTCTTAATACGGGCACTCGGCCTCCCAGGGGCCTTGTGAGATGGCTGACTGATAGATAGTCGAACGAGGCGCCCGAGCCGTGCCTCCAACAAACCCCACATGCTCCACCCTCGCCCACTAAAAATCGCGCCCCATGCAGGATCCCTTCGTGGCTTCACCCCAACCCACCCCAGCCCCCCAGCCCACCCTACCCCCCTTTCGCCACCCCAGTAATGTCCCGCTTTTCACGGGCATGAATGCCAAATTCTGCTATTGACTCTCACCCATCGGGGGAGTGAAGGAAGGGGAGACCCACATCCCTACGGCCACACACACGCCCGCTTCAAACAATGAAGATTCCGCCTCCGCGGTTATTTACGCCTTTTTGAGATGCTTGGAAGGGGAATGGGTAGTGTGTGCGGTGGAGGTTCATGGAAAAAACTAACTGTAGCTACTGCAAAATGACTGAAAATAAGGAAAAGAGGGAAAGAGCTGAATATGAAAGTCACTATTATCTAGGTATCGCTGGCCCAGGGCACAAGGTCATTAATGCTGAATTGTGCCTTTTAAAGCAGTAGACAACGATTTTTGTATTAAAATTTACACGATTTCAAACTTAATTATACAAAAAACGCGAAAACATGTTATGAATGCGTAATTATACCTTTTACCGTGGCTTATTAGGTCACAGCCAATGACCGGATTTATTTAACACTATTTCGATTATCATTATACCAATGAACCCGGCAATTTAGCGTATTAAAGCTGATTATAATGCATACAGTATTAAATTCAATTAAAAAGATTTAAAAACCGTTGATACCAAAGAACACGGTGAGCCAACGTATAGTTATGCAATTATGTAATTACACCTTACAAAAATGTAATTGCACTATAATCATGTGCATGTAGTTTTACGGCAACTTTGTAGCTAGGCAGATGGTTATTTATCTCATTTGAAATTTTTTTAAACGCAACTTTACCAAAGAACCCTCGAGCACAGCCGTTCCCCTTCCCACCACGAACCGGAAATCCGATCCCATCCCCAAACAACCACGATCCACCATAACCCCCCCACACAAAAACACGAGCAAAAACGAACTCTGAAAAATAGTAGAGCACCCTTTATAATAATAATCCGTCTCTCTTCCCCTGCACAAGACCACCATCACCAAAAAAAGACATAATGTGTGCTGACGCAATGCCCAGATCCGAGGCATTATGCTCAAAACGAATCTTCTCCAATACCCCCTATTTTCGACTCCCGAACGAGTCGTAGTGCCACCCGAGAGAGTGGTCGAAAAGGTACCTGAGGAAGAAGAGAAGGTAAAAATAATATCGTGAAACCCGCGGGAACAGCCTCGACTCGGTTCCATAGCCAATTTATTTCGAAATTCGCCAATTTCGACGCAAACCCCTGCATGTAAAGATGGGATTAGAAAATATGTTCTTCCAGAATTATTTATTGTTATGAAATCCCTTAGAAAAATGGGTTTTAGAGAAAACAAGGCGGTTGTGAATCTGGTTGAATTTATAGGGTCCGTCCTCGCTCTTCATCTTCAGTGAAGATAATTTGATACGAAGGTATGCGCGGACGATGATCGAATGGGGTCCCTTCGAATATTTTATTCTGCTCACCATCGTTGGTAAGTTTAGTTGAGGTATTAAAAACACTTCAAAACTTCACTTTATGGAAATTAGCGTTCTGTCTAGCAGCTGTACACCTTTATAAGTGCTTTTTTAAGCAATCTTTCATTAATTTTAACTGCGAACTATTTAAATTATTTAAAATATAATTAAAATACCGCCACCAACTGTCAATTATCTATTACTGATTTTCAGGTAATTGTGTCGTCCTCGCCCTCGAACAACATTTACCAAAAAACGACAAAAAGCCGTTATCAGAATGGCTGGTAATTGCCAAATCTAACATGCAATAATTCTTCTTTTCTTTCAGGAGAGGACCGAGCCATATTTTATGGGTATTTTCTGTGTAGAATGCGTCTTGAAAATTACCGCCAACGGGTTCCTCTTTCACAAAGGCTCTTATCTGCGCTCAGGATGGAATATTATGGATTTTATTGTCGTTGTTTCCGGGTAAAACCAGAGGAGTGGGTCCAAAACTGGGAAATTCAGATGTGTGACGATGTTGCCGTTCAGTCCAGTTCAGACGGGTGGTCCCCAGGTGGAGACGGTGGATTTGAGGACGTTGCGAGCCGTGAGAGTGTTGCGGCCGTTGAAGCTTGTGTCTGGGATTCCCAGTAAGTTATGAAAATGAGCATGACTATTCTGGATTCTAGTATAATAGACCTTTCTTTCTATGATATTTCGCAAACCCTATAAGCAAACTTCCAATATGTTGCGAAGTGACACTGCCCCTCCCCCCTTCTAAATAATGACTATACCCCCGGCCCCGTTGGATAGAATAAATGGCCGTTCAGCCTGTCACTTCCAAGCGTTGCCCCCGGGCCCGCAATCCCAGCGCTGAAACCAAAAGGAGCCTTCGGTGCATGAACATTCTTCTAGCGGGCCCGGCGGGAGCAGAGAAGCCTTCTGCGAATGCGAATTAGCCCACGAGCAATGGAATTACGGGACCCAGGCTAGGGCACCTGTCAAAAAGGCAGCGTGGTGAGATGGGAGATGGCTTTGGGATGGGATGATGAAGGAATTTTAAGGAAATTAATGGGGAACCAGGATGGAAATGTTGAACAATTTTTGATCAAGGGATTCCGGGTGAAATTTATGCCAAGCCGTCAATTACTAGCTAGGTTGAGCTAAATCGGCTGAATTTGAGCGTGAATATAGAGCCAGGGATGCCGATCATTGGTCATAAAGTTGCTAAAACCGTTGAAACCGCAACACATGCAAGCTCGAACTCGAAATTCGGCATCATTTGCATCAATATAGCAAGTTTTAAAACATGGGCTGCTTTAGAACAAGAAAAAAGCAGCATGGTTGACTCGCTAAGAGCGCTAACTTTGATTACCACCTAAATGAACTGAAATTGTAAACAGTAAAAAACTCAAAAAAAAATTTAAATATTCGCCGCCAAATTTTGACTTTTCAGGTTTACAAGTCGTCTTGAAGTCCATCCTCTGCGCCATGGCCCCGCTGCTCCAAATTGGACTGCTCGTGTTATTCGCCATCGTCATCTTCGCCATCATCGGCTTAGAGTGGGCACCTCTGAAAGCAGAGCGAATAATGAAGGGATTATAGGTTCTACTCGGGAATCTTCCACAACGTGTGCAAGAATGACCGTGGAGAGATCGAGAACATCTCGGAGAGGCCCTTCCCCTGGTAATTGGAGCTTTCCGGAGCGGCGAGTGATGGACGGGTTGTTTAGTGCGGTGAAGAACGAGACGCAAGGGGCTTACTACTGTGATGTGCCCGGGACGGAATGTGTGTCCGGATGGATTGGACCGAATTTCGGGATCACTTCATTCGATAACATCGCATTTGCCATGATCACGGTCTTCCAGTGCATTACTATGGAGGGCTGGACGACGGTGATGTACTATGTACGTAGAGGAAATTGAGAGGAACGAGAAATGCCAAAAAAATCAAAAATCTTCTTTCAGACCAACGATTCCATCGGCAACATGTACAACTGGGCCTACTTCATCCCCCTCATCGTGCTCGGTTCATTTTTCATGCTCAACCTCGTTCTCGGAGTGTTGTCTGGGTATGCAGCACCCTGGGGAAAGCAAGATCAAATAAATTACAGAGAGTTCGCAAAAGAAAGGGAGCGTGTGGAAAACCGACGGGAATTCCTGAAGCTTCGACGACAACAACAGGTCGAACGTGAGCTGGCCGGATACCTAGATTGGCTCCTCAGCGCTGAAGAAGTTATTCTCAAAGAAGATCGGACAACTGAGGAAGAGAAGCAAGCCATCATGGAAGGTAAATTACCAAAAATACTGATTTATAAATATCCTATTTTAGCAAGGAGAAGAGCAGCCTCCAAGAAACTAAAATCCGGCGCTAAACAACAGTCAACAGAAACTGAGGAGGAATTCGAAGAAGAGGAGGACGACCTAGAAGATGAATATGAAGATGAAACAGTGCAAGAAGAATTTCCGGGAGCCGGTAAAAGAAAAAGAGGCATCACAGAAATTGTCAACAGAAAAATCCGGCAAGCCAGGTTTGCGCCCCCTAAAGGATTCTAAAAAACTTTTAGGGTGCAAGTTCGAATCATCGTAAAAACACAGTTATTCTACTGGTCTGTGATCACTTTGGTTTTTCTCAACACAATTTGCGTCGCTTCTGAGCATTACGGCCAGCCAGATTGGCTCACTGAATTTCTAGGTATGTTTTGAATGGATCATATGGTTGAATGATTATTTAGAATATTCCGAATTCGCCTTTCTGAGTTTGTTCGTGCTGGAGGTGTTGCTGAAGGTGTTTGCCATGGGCCATCGAGCGTACTGGGCTTCAAAATTCAATCGATTCGACTGTATTGTCATTGTTGGCTCGGTAAGTAGCAAAAATGGCTAACTCTACCAACATGCAACTGTACCGCTGTTCTTTCAGGCATTTGAAGTCATCTACTCCGAGATCAAGGGCGGTTCCTTCGGTATCTCCGTGCTTCGAGCCTTGCGGTTACTTAGGGTTTTCAAATTGACAAGGTAATTTTGGTAACTAACATTTTAACGATTGCTGTTTAGTTACTGGGTCTCACTGCGTAATCTGGTGAGATCGTTGATGAACTCGATGAGGTCTATTATCTCACTGCTGTTCCTGCTCTTCTTGTTCATCCTCATCTTTGCCCTCCTTGGAATGCAGCTGTTCGGAGGAAAATTCAACTTCCCGAACATGCACCCATACACCCATTTCGATACATTCCCGGTTGCATTGATCACAGTGTTTCAAGTAAGCCCTCCGGAACTGACAGGTTATTTACGTGTTTAGATCCTTACTGGTGAGGACTGGAACGAGGTGATGTATCTGGCCATCGAAGCGCAAGGCGGTATCTATGGAGGCGGGATGGTGTATTGCGTCTACTTCATCGTGCTCATGTTGTTCGGCAACTGTAAGTTTTAGGTTTTAAAAAGTCACGTTTTTATTAGACACCCTGTTGAACGTGTTCTTGGCTATCGCCGTCGACAACTTGGCGAACGCGCAGGAATTGACAGCCGCAGAAGAAGCTGACGAAAAAGCAAATGAAATCGGCGAGGAGAGCGATATTGAGGAGGTAAAATAATACATAGCAAATTCAAAACTTATTTTTGTATTCAAGGAGCATTGCATCATCGACATGGAAGGCAAAACAGCTGGAGATATGTGTGCTATCCAACGTCAAATGGATGGTTTGTCGAAATAGTATTTATCTCTTTACAATTGATTTTGAGAAGAAGAATGTGAAGAGGAGGAAAGTCCCTTCGGCGGCCCTCGCCCTATGGTACCCTATTCTTCCATGTTTTTCCTTTCCACCACCAATCCGTAAGTCAACGCCACCCAAAATCCACTCCCCTATTAGCATCCGGGTACTGGTACACGCCATCTGCTCAACCAAATACTTCGAAATGGTCGTGATGATTGTCATTTTGCTCTCTTCGATATCATTGGCCGCTGAGGATCCGGTGTGGGAAGACAATCCCAGGAATATGTACCTTCAATACCTGGACTACTGCTTTACCGGAGTGTTCGCTTGCGAGATGTTCTTGAAGGTATCGAAAAGGTTTATGAAAGTTTTATCATTCATTAAAACGCCCTATCGACAATGGTAATCTTTTTTAGCTAATCGACATGGGTATCATTCTCCATCCTGGCGCCTACTGCCGTGACTTCTGGAACATCCTCGACGGTGTCGTCGTCACATGCGCACTTGTCGGCTTTGCATTCTCGTAAGTTGCTTGGCCCACTTATTCCGAAAAAGATCTCTCTCTCTCTCTCTCTCTCTCTCTCTCTCTCTCTGTCTACCGTCCAGGCATGTCCAGTCTTTTTACGTGTCTACGCATCGTAGCATGGGTCCGTGCCCACTATTTCAAGCATGTCTCAATCGTAATTTATCGTACCTTCCAGTGGTGACGGCAGGTAAGAACCCCCGAACGATCCAAACTCGACTTATTTTGCTTGGTTCGACAAAAATGAGCCATTACTTCTCCTGCTTTCTGTCTAGAAATTTTTACAAAATTCCGAAAGTCGAGCTGTTTGATGATACCCAATCCGAGTGTCATTCTGCCCCCCAGAAACTTTTTTGTTGTGGTGTAGATCTGTTATATTACCGGCACTTTCTATTCCCTATTTTTCGGCAAAGAATCTATACTTATTTGTTGTTTGACTACAATAGCGGCTTTTTTAGTGGAGCGGAAGGTGGTGCCGGAAAGAACTTGAGTACGATCAAGTCTTTGCGAGTGCTGAGAGTGTTGCGACCTCTTAAAACTATCAAAAGGATTCCGAAGCTCAAGGTACGCCATCACTTACTGTATAAATTATTTCATTTTAGGCCGTATTTGACTGCGTGGTGAACTCCTTGAAAAACGTGTTCAACATATTGATCGTTTACTTTTTGTTCCAGTTCATTTTCGGTGTCATCGCTGTCCAGGTTTGTATAGGAAACTTGATCTAAAGGTCGTTTTAGCTTTTCAAAGGCAAGTTCTTCTTCTGTACCGACAGTACCAAGAAGTTTGCAAATGAATGCCATGGAGAGTATTTCATCTTTGACAATCAGGTTTGTTAAATCTAACCTACTATAGTCTAAAAAATCAGAATGAACCTCCACGAAAAGAGACGAGGCAATGGGTACTGCGAAACTTCAATTATGACAATACGATCAATGCCATGCTGACGTTGTTTGTTGTAACCACCGGTAAGTTTCGGGAGCCATTTTGGATAAACTCTACTTTTTTGAATAAGCTTTATTAACTAGTTAATATTACTTTTCAGGAGAGGGATGGCCTGGAATCCGCCAAAATTCGATGGACACCACGTATGAAAACCAGGGGCCCTCACCATTCTTCCGAGTGGAGGTATCTATTGGAAGAAAAGAAAAAAACTATTTTGTCTCAGATGGCCCTCTTCTACGTGATGTTCTTCATCGTGTTCCCATTCTTCTTCGTCAACATCTTCGTGGCTTTGATTATCATCACATTCCAGGAGCAGGGTGAAGCCGAATTGTCGGAGGGGGATCTGGACAAGAATCAGGTACCGCTGGGTTTCAATGAATGACTTTTAAATTTAGAAACAATGTATCGATTTCGCTCTCAACGCTCGTCCTCGATCGCTATTTATGCCGGAAGATAAAAACTCGATCAAATATCGTATTTGGAAGCTCGTCACCTCGCCCCCATTCGAATACTTCATTATGGCTATGATTTGCTCAAACACGGTCATTCTCATGATGAAGTACTACAAGAATGCTCCAAACTACGAGGCTGTAAGCTATGTTATTTACTTCCAGTATTTTTCTTGCAGGTTCTCCGGTTATTCAACACCTCGCTAACAGCAGTGTTTACCGTTGAGGCCATTTTGAAAATCTTGGCGTTTGGTGTTCGGGTATGTAAATTATACATAATCGTTTATTAGTGGGTTTAGAACTATTTCCGAGACGGGTGGAATCGATTCGATTTCGTGACTGTCATTGGTTCAATTACTGATGCCTTGGTTACAGAGTTTGGAAAGCATTTCGTATCGCTCGGTTTCCTGCGGTAAGTGCCCTTTAAGTTAAAAATTACCATATTTCTTCAGTCTCTTCCGTGCGGCTCGTCTCATTCGTTTGCTCCAACAAGGATATACCATCCGAATCCTTCTCTGGACATTCGTGCAATCGTTCAAGGTTTCAAAAACATGAAAAATCATAAAGAAACGAAAAATTAAGGCACTGCCATATGTCTGTCTGCTGATTGGAATGTTATTCTTTATCTACGCTATCGTCGGCATGCAGGTGTTCGGAAACATCTACCTCGACTCGAAAACGGAACTGAATCGACATAACAACTTCCAATCGTTCTTCAACTCATTGATCCTCCTCTTTCGGTGTGCAACGGGTGAAGGCTGGCAAGACATTATGATGGCGTGTACCGCCGGGAAGAACTGCGCTAAATTTATCGATGTAAGGAAGAAAGATATTGGAATTAGCATTTTTTTTAGTTCGATCCGATTCTCAACAAGACTGTTGGAATGCTGTCTAACGAGCCAAGCGCAAAAGGGGCTGTCTGCGGAACCCAGGGTAGCTACGCGTACTTCACTTCCTTCGTCTTTCTCTCAACATTCTTGGTATCAAAAAAATATTTATCTTCGTAATTAAAAATGTAGATGCTCAACTTGTTCGTCGCCGTCATTATGGACAACTTTGACTACCTGACTCGTGATTCTTCCATCCTCGGCCCTCATCATCTTGATGAGTTCATCCGAGTATGGGCTGATTACGATCCTGCAGCAACGTAAGCTATTTGAAAATATTAATTATGCAAAGATTTTTAGTGGCCGAATCCACTACACCGATATGTACGACATGTTACGAAATATAGCACCGCCTGTCGGTTTCGGCAGAAAGTGTCCGTATCGGTTGGCTTATAAACATCTAATTCGGATGAATATGCCTGTGGCTGAGGACGGGACTGTACATTTTACGACGACTCTCTTTGCTTTGATCCGAGAAAGCTTGTCGATCAAAATGAGACCTGTCGAAGAAATGGATGAAGCTGATGAAGAGCTCCGGCAAACCCTGCGAAAAGTCTGGCCTCTGAAAGCGAAGAAAAACATGATTGACCTGGTTGTTCCACCCAATCAAGGTAGAGCTACACCTCCACTCTAAAAACGTTACTTTAGAACTGTGCTACCAACGGCTAACCGTCGGCAAAATCTATGCTGGACTTCTAATCCTCGAAAATTACAGGGCCAAGAAATCTGGTACCGAGGTAAGCCTATAAAACCTCTGAAGCGCTTGAATCTCTTTTCACTGTCATATCCCTTTAGCTGGAAATGAGAAAAAGGCAAAGGGCCGCTGAAATTCTCATGCGGCGCCGTAATGCCCTCCGGACATCCGTGGATGTTCCAAACCCCATAGAAGAGGTGCCGGGTTATGAGACCTGCACGCAATTTTTATGCGTTTTCAATTTCTTCCACCCTTTCCCAAAAAAAAACCATTGCGCATGAGACCCATTTACGACCCGAAAATTTAAAAAAATATAAGAAAATATTGGATGAAAAGTACGCTTTTGCAGATTGGCGGCGGTGGATTGTTCGGTGGAGGGTTGCGATCGCTGGTTTCTGCCGCAAAAGCTGCTGCTGGAGCCGCACACAGTCCACCAAATGTTGAGCAACATCCACGAGATCAATTGGCACCGAATAACAACAACCTGGAGCAGTCGAGGAGTGCTAGCCCAAATGTAAGCTGATTTTTATACAGTTTTTATATCCTGTTTCAGAGACCGTATTCGCTGTTCTCCACGCTGGTTGATACAATCAAGGCGGCGAAGAGTTCAGAGAGTATTGAGCACGAGCAGCAACAACAAACTGCACCCGTGATGGCACAACCATACCAGAACCATGTACCTCAACAGTTGCCTCAACAAACACAAAAGTCGGTCGTTTTTTTATACGGCGCGTCTGTCGAAAAACTTTCGCGATTTCAAGATATCTATAATTTCTGGGGGACGAAAGCCGCTGTTTTGCTGCCTTTTTTCGCTCACTAGATTACACATCAAAATTACTAAATTTAGTCCGGAACCAAAACCAGGCGGTCGACGATTATCGGATATGTTCTCCCGCCTTCGTCGTGGTAGCAGCAACCCACCACATGGACATGATCATCATCCCCATCAGGTATACCTCCAGCCCAAATATCCCCTCCAGAAACCTTCCACCAACCCCCCTCGTTTGCCCAAAAAAACCATCCCAACCAAGAATTCAACAACAACTCACGTGTCCAAAACAACTGCCCCCTTCAAACAATCCACCGTATTCCCCCACGGCTTTCAAACACACCGTTGACCATCTAGGAACAAGTTGGCTGTACTTCTTCTTGGTTGCTCCTTTCGCTTTCCACCACCTTTTCTATCAAAGTAATACTATTCGGTACTTTTCTGTTAACGACGCTTGGCCCCCTTCCCAGCGATGGGGAGGGAGAGATCATTTTGCGATTTGGTTGCTTTCGTAGTTTCGGCAATATTCTTTTAGCAATATCAACATAGCGGAAAGTTGTTCTTAGAATAGATGATATTGGTTCAAATGCCCCAGATTTTTCCAAGCACCAGGTATTCAGTCTGAATGGGTAAGCGAAAAATGGAATCCACGTTGCGTCACTGGTTGCAAGACGTTGCCAATATGATGGTCTTATTGCAGTGAAATGCTGGCTAATTGAGGGATAAAACGGGAAGCTTGCAGAGTCTTGAAAATGATAATCTCGAGATCAGAATTTTTAATTCTTAAAATTTCGAATTTTTGTGTTTTGAATCAGCATTAAAAGGTGTCGGAATTGCACCTCTGGACCTTACATACGGATTTTGGAAAATTCGAGATTCTGAATATCCGCGTTTATGAAACTATGATTCTGAAAATTCGTTTTGATTCTCGAGATTTCAATTTCGGAGATTCTGATAGGGATGGGTTAAGAAAGTCTAAACAGGCCTAGATTACAAATTACAAAATCAAAAAATTCGGAATAATTTGTTGGTGCTTTCACATCTTTGGATCCAAACAACTGTCGCTCTTTAATTTTTCTTGTATTCTTTTAACGAATTGAGCACCAACAACCCAGCTCGCTAGCAGAAAAGTACACGAATTTTCCGGCCTAGCAACATCTAAACAAAACCCGGCAACGATTTGACCCCGTGGGAGAGTCCCCCAATTGACGGTGGTGTATTTTCCAGCCATTCTCCGCCCGTTTCCCCTACTACCGAGGGCGAGACAGTCGCTACGAGGAGGTATAGTATATTCCGAATCAAACTGCACGAGAGCCGGAGCCTCCCCCTCCACCTCTACCCCCCGGAGATTGAAAAAATACGCCGATTGGAGAAACGCCAAGCTTTTCAACCCCTGCCTTACCCAGAAAACCCCCGTGCACCGCAGCGAGAAACACGACCCGGCACCTACCGTAGTTGAAACTCCTGGCTCCGCTTTTCGGATCCTCTCCCTTCCCCCGCCTCACCCACCCCCCAGATATCGTTTGCCGTGTTTTATTTACCCAAAGCATTTACCCGGATGCGTGTGGCTCAGTCTCTTCCTCAATTATGTAGCGCATGCGCTCCGTCGATGTGTTGAAGCTTTGTGTTTTTGTATACCCCCTTCATTTTCTCTCTGAGACACAGCAACAAGAAAAAACCGTTTCTTTTCGTGTTGAGTGCTAGATAAGAACTTTCGGTTTTGTTTTTTGATTTATAGGCATATCCTAGTAAAAATTTCCCCCTGGTGGCTGGCTACGAGCGTCGACGGATCGCATGTGTCTTTGTCCCCGTGCCAATCCCCATAGAGCCGCGCTTATTATCGAGCTAACGGCCGCGTTTTTGATGCTGGTATATAAGGAAACTTGCTAGTTATATTACACAGCTCTAACTTTTCTCGCTAAAGTTAACACCTTTTTGGATGGAATTCATTAGAAGAGCAAATTTCCTGATATAACCACGTCACGCAGAGTAGCCTGGGTGTCATTTGTGACAAGCTATTTGGGCGTTTTTAGACAGAGCAACTGCTGCCATCGAAATCAAGGTCGAGGTCGCCTTCGCCTCGGTATCAGGCTATGCATACGAGGGATTCACCACCAAGTCCACCGCATGGTTATGGAAGATATCGAGGTATAGGGACTTTTCTCATGGCAGAGCTAACTAATTATAGCCAAAAATTAAAAATTACCATCGATCTCTAGATTCTCCACCTTCGTCCCGATCCGATTATCCAATGTCAGTACGCGAGCCTATGCTGCCAAGAGCCAACCGAAACCGGTCCGGATATTACGATAGATCTCCGATCTACTCGGAAGACTCGAGCATGGGTGGACCTGACTTCCCAGGACCCAGACGTGACTATCCCAGCAGTCGATACAACGGTTCGCTTTGTCAATATTCTAGATTATCCATATTTTATAGGGTCTCCAACCTCATCGATAATATCTGAGGAAGAGGATCCGATGCCGGCTGCTGTTCGACAGCGGCGATTGCCCTTGATCGGGAGCTTGCCATCACAAGGGCGGTACCCTCCATCGACCAGTGCTGCTGCCCCATATTCCGGATATGCCAGCCATGGTCAATATAGTAGGTTTTCATGTTTTTATTTGCTACGAAACGGCAGCCCGCTTCACCGAAAATTCATTTTAGGCGGGTACAGCAGCGGCCCTTCAAACGCCTACAGCTCGACCGGCCCCTCCAATGCCTATTCGTCAACAGGAGCATACGGAACCAGCTACCACTCGCCAATTTCCCCCAGGTCTAACGCCAGCTACTACACACCGCGCGGAGGTGTTGCCGCAAATCAGGGCCCAACACCCGGCCTCTACGAAATCCCATCACCAAGCCCTCAACGTGCGGCCGAAATGTTCTTCCACGGGTCACCGAGAAGATCGCAACCACCATCAACATCGCGTGGTTACCCAGCTACCACCGTAGTTTACTCCCAAAATTCAGGCCCGAGAACAAGGGTCATCCAAGCCCAGCCCGGAACCGTCCCACTCTCCGATTCCGAGGGCGAAACAGACCGTGAATGGGCCCATCTTTAGATTTCTATTTTGCTGTGCTTACCCCCCGCACAGCCAGCCTGTACTTACTATGTAAGTTTTTCAGTAAACCATTAAAATTACCTATTTATTGCAAATTGCTGTATCCCCCGAAATGACTCTCATCCCTGTGATCTCCCTGTGATCGTTTTTGGAATTTTGATGCGCCCCTCACGTTCACCCTGCCAATTTTTTAATTTTATTTTTTAAAAGACCAATAGCCTACGACTTGTGTATTCCTTTTGGAAATGTTGGTACGATGCTTCTTTCACTGTCAAGCCACCGGTGTATTTATGATAAAAAAGATCTGTTAGACTAGGCCGCAATGCCTTCTATTTATTTATTTTTTTTACAAAAGGTCTTTGTTATCCCATAAAATGCTTCAAGATTCTTGTGCCAGGATCTTCCCTCCACTTTCTGCATTCCATTCAGGGAGTATGTTCCTCGAAAATGGATAAACATCTTAGATTTTTATAATAAAATAATGATTTTATTAACAAAAATGCATTACATACTAAAAATACACTGAAACAACACCTAGATTTGGCTGTAAAGAGTCTCGAATGCATGTTCCAATTATGGTTGAGGAAGCTGGTGTTGGAAGTACCGGCCGATGGGGTGCGATAATCCTTTCTGGGTGACAACTCCTAGGGGTCTGTAAATAGAAAATGGGACTAGAAAGCATTGTTTGGTCGGAAGAACGTTTCCGGTAGTCGGAAATGACTTTTTGGTCGGTCAGAGGTATTCGTCATCGTTGATCTCTTGCTACAGCTATCTGCTTTTTTATTTAATTTGTTTCATCTAATTCAACTATTAAAATATATGCCATTAATGCGCTAACGAAAGACTTGACTAATCGTTGGCGCCTAATTTTCTCTATTACTGCGTCAATCGATTTGACCTATACGCTACGCAGACTGATCAGGATCCGCTACTAAAAAAATCTAGATCTTTTTATCCTAATTGTTCTCTGCATTGTTTTAGCTGTTTGCCCAATTGTACCCCGGCCGTGAATGGCTAGTATGCAAATAGGCAGGTGAAGCCCGTGCAACGATGGGATCCGGTGTGTGTAGTGTATTTGTTGGCGGGTGCGGAGGAGGATGAGGAGATCGCTTGGGGCATTGTCCAGGCCCATCCGAGGACAAACAGAACGGCTCCCGGCCTGATGAATTTTGCAAACGGCAGGGTGGGCACCGTTGCGATGGGGTGGGTTTGCAGGCTGACTGCTTGCAGGGTGAGTAGTCGGGGAGGTTCATTTTCTGGTCTATTTATATTTTAATTATTGGTGTTTAAAGTGAGTGTGGGCTAAATAAAAGTATTAAAAAGACACCGTATCTTCGCTTTTCTTATGTTTGTTTTTTAAGCCTTTTGGAATCTAGGTGGCTCTCAACGTGGAATTAGCAGACCAGCCTGATTTTACAAAAGGAAGAATTTAGAAAAAGCCAGTCGATATCAGCCGCTTCGCGGCTGCTATCGACTGGCCCTCCCAGGGGGCAAGGCAATACGGGGTGCTTCCCATTCTCTTTAGTATATTTCCCGCTTGGCGCGGATACCTTCCGTGATCTACCTATGCAGCTCCTCCAAAACCAAAGAACCTTCCACTCCTCCTATTCCCCCTGAAAGAAACCCCCCAACATCCGTAGCTGACCCTAAACAAAAAGAGACGGGAAGTCTAATGGTTAACGCACCCCCCAGAAGCAAAGCTATAACCTTCTTTAAGAATAAAAAAACATAGAAGAAACTTGATATTAAAAAAACATCTAAAAAACGCGTAATGGCTAAAATACCCTTGAAAGAAAGTTATTTCCCTTCTTTAATACGAAAAAAAAACAATAAAAACCGTTGCGAAACAATTATTCTTTTGTTTGGGGCCTGCTACCATTAATGCGCGAACGGCCCCTGTGACCTCTGACCCCTCCCCCTCTCCCCGGGAAATGCCCTGGGGGCACGTTGAATTCCTGGATGGACAGACGGACAATAGAAATTTATATATAGTAGATGGGCAATATCCCAGATACGGTAGTGGCACTACCCCCCGCTTTTTCTAACGGTCAACCCAGAACCCTTCCGTGTACCGAAGAAATTGAACGGCCCCTTGGCCCACCGTTGATTTGTGGCCCCCACCGATCACACGTCCAGAAAAAACTCTCCCCCGGCCTTTCAAAATGGCTCTGGTGGTGCTGGAAGAGGCTTGTGATTAGTGGATACCCCCAGGGTTGAGTGTTTCCAAATGATTGGCCCGACATCCCTTCACCATCCATACCCTACACATACAACAGCTGACTCTTTTCTCTACCCAAACCCTTCGCCTCGAGGGATCATCCTTTCGCCCTCCCCTTTTCAGCTTTCCATGCAATAACCTCCGACCTCATTCTTCTAGTTTATTTTGTCGGTATTCAAGCCTTTATATTCAAACTATGAATCATTTCTCTGCACCAACATTGGGATTCAAGGACTTACCTTGTCCTTTAAATTAAGGGATTAAAATCGGGAAATATCCTCCCATCCCTCATTTCGAACGCCCTTTTGTTGACACCGGGGATATTTGGGGTGTTCATTTCCCGTTGATTTCCGGTTCTGCCGCTTCAGGGTTCTGATTCTCATACCGATGATCGCTTGCGATTGGTCATTGCGTGTGTCAGAGACCTTTTGTTTTTGTTACGGCACACGGATGGGTCGAGGGGAGAAGCTATTTCTTGCGTGATGTTCTTGCCGTATTGATGGATGTATGTAACCATACTTCATTTTTGACGTTTTAATACTACACCTATGTTTGCTCTAAAATACCATACGGTACCTTCCACTACATCGACATTTCAATTGGTCGAAGTTTTGGTGTAATCGTTTTTGCGTAGAAAATTTTGGCATAATGCTGGAACAACGTTACTTAATCTCCATTGTTACCTCGCCATACATCAAAGCCATTTCCTGTTCACCTCTAGTCCAAAAACTTCCCCACCGTCAAAAACCCGGGAATAACCTCCATTCTTTCGTCATACCAATAACAGCCGTTCCTGGACGCTATTCAATCAAAATGCCCCTCAGCCTGGAAGCAGGGCGATTTTGGACAAAGAGCCGAAATAAATGGCGGAAGTGTGGGGAAGGCCCACCAGGGGTCGTGGAGACGACGGCAGGGTCGAGGAGCCCCCGAGGCCCAGTCATTGGCCCTGGGCCCTGGTTCTTGCAGTCGAGTGGCCCCAATTATTACGACAATAGCCCGGTGGAGACGGGTCCAGGGACGACGGGTTTTTCCTGTGAAGGCCGGGCAAAAGCCAAGACTCCTTTTACCAGCTTCCAGGTTGACGCGCAGCAGGAAATAATTGACTTATGTCTTGGCGGAACGTTCATCTTGAGCTGCTTGCCGTTGGGGGCAAGACAAACCCTATTCAAGCGACAGCCCAATTAGGAGGGCACCGCTCTAAATTACTCGCGACCCGCCGAGTTCGAGGCGGGTCTATCTATTACTGTTTGTGGTTCCGGGAAGTGGTTTATTAATTATTTTTGGATTATGATTGCGGAGTAGGATTTTAATTGGGATCAGGGATGCTTTTGGTTTTGGAAGTCTTAAGAAATTTTCAGAGCGTTAATTTTATCTAAATTTTTATGCAAATTGTTAGCTAAATCAGAACTGTAGTTTCCCGAAACCTAAGTTTCGAAAGTCGTTTTTACAGCGTTTTTCAGAGCAAATAATTGAACGTCTCCTTCGTCTACCGTCTACAAATTTTTCGTAAATTGGAGTGATGTTTTCTAATCAAGAAAGTTTGAACGTGTTGGTTTTTAAAAGATCTTGACGATATTTTTATAGAGATTGATAAAACCAAATTTTGTAGAATTTTGGTTAAGTTGGATTTTCCTGTTTCCTGGACACCAACATCAGGACAGTATCTTCCCGGAACCTCGAAGTTTCGAAAGTCTAATTTTTTAAGAATCTTTAGAAAGTTCCCCTGCCTACCTAATCCCCCATTTCCGATACCACGAAAATCCCGGAAAGAGATCAACCAACCTCGGCAACAACCAGACTTACTGACCCGAAAAATCCCTTCCCGCTTTGCGGGGGCTACGTATTCTGTGAAGGCCGGATTTCCGGGATTTCGGTGCCTCAGATGTATAGATTCTTCTTGGCGTGGTGGGCACAGTGCGGGGATGGGGCGTATAGGGCAGCCGATGAGGGCTAATTGTCGGTTTTTGGGGACGTTTAGGGCTTTGGGCAAAAGGGGGCCGCTTGGGGTTGTGGTGGGGACTGTATCCTCGGGGCTCATATCTAAGCTATGGTTAGCGGGGCATTTATAGGCTCGCTTGGGTCATCCTTACAGCACCTGCAGCTATGAACCTAGGCTCTTTCATCACTGTTCTTTGATGTGTATTGTTCCGCCTGTTTTGTGCTATGCCTCTGTACCTTAACCACACATTTACGATTTGCATACTTTTAAGCGTTTCGTTCATTTTTCCCAGTTTTTCTTAAAATCAGACTGATAGAATGATTTTTGTCATCCACTTAGCACATGGAAATCCTGAGGAAAAGATACGCCGAGCGAAATGTTAAAAAAAATTTGGGAAAACGGCGTTGTGCGTAAAATTAACATACATCAATTTTAACACCTTTTTCTTGATTTTTTGCTTTTTCATCACCTAGCAATCACCTTGAAGAATTGCCACCCGGTCTGCCACCACCAATTAACCCGATCAAGCCCAGAAACATTCCATTTCCGCCCTCAGTGACACGCCAGCCACCTCCTTGTTTGCAACCCTCCCCTCCCCCTCTCAAAATCACAGTCATCAACAAAATGCATATCCCTATGCATTCGCGTAAACTTGTCGTGTGAGTGCCCCGAGTTCGACGCTTCGCCCCCAATTTGGTGAGCCGTCGCGCTCGGTAGGGGTGGCAAAAGTAATTGCGTATGAATGCGCCAACTTCCCCCCGGCCGCATGGTGGCGCCTTTTCACAAACAAAAGCTTCTATCAAACCGCCAGTGGGTCAAATTGGGGGATCTTGGATAGAT